TTAACCAAGAAAAGTGAGACATAGGATCTTAACCAAGAAAAGTGAGACATAGGATCTTAACCAAGAAAAGTGAGACATAGGATCTTAACCAAGAAAAGTGAGACATAGGATCTTAACCAAGAAAAGTGAGACATACATTGGACAGCAAATCAAGCGGCACCGCGCACCTCCCTGTCAAACTGGAGAAGTTGTAGCTGACTTGCCATTCCTCCCTTGAGCGAAAGTTATAGGGAACGTTGTAGAAGTTGACAGTAAACGAACAAGGGTAGCGTACCTCGGCGGCGAGTTGGTCCTCGAAGCCCTTGCCCCGTTTCTTGTCGAGCTCGCCTTTGCTGAACTGGAGAAATGTGATCGATTGCCAGATCTCCCCCTTTTCTTCGGCGAAACATATAAGAAACGTTACAAAAATCGAAAGTAACCCATACAAAAATACAAGAATAGCGTACCTCGACGGCAACGTGGTCTCCGTAGCCCTTGCCCCGCTTCTTGTCGAGCTCGCCTTTGCTGAAATGGAGGAGTTGTAGTTGATTGCCGTTTTCCCACTCTTTCTGAGCGAATATTATAAGGCACGGTTTGAAGGTCGAAAGTAACCCATACAAAACTACAAGATTAGCGTACCTCGACGGCAAAGTGGTCCCCGTAGCCCTTGCCCCGCTTCTTGTCGAGCTCGTCTTTGCCAAACTGAAGAAGGCCGCTCGTGACGAACGCGGTGTTGAACCACAGGTAGAAGAGGCGGCTCCCCCCCTCGCTGAAGGTCACGCGCACGTCTCCAGTCAACTGGAGAAGAGGCGTCAGAAGTGGTTCAGGTGAAAGACCAGTAGCCACTAGAGGCTGTAAAACATTGTCCAAAGCCGGAAGCCAGACGTTCAAAAGGCGGCTTCTCCCCTCGCTGAAGCTCACAGGCACGTCGCTGGTCAACTGAAAAAGAGGAGCAATAAAAATACATCAAAACATAATATTGTAATGTGCGCCTAGCCTTGGAAGCCTGTAGAAAGGGCGGCTACCCCCCTCGCTGAATGTCACACGCAAATCGCCCGTCAAGTGGAGAAGAAGCGCAATGAACACAATGAGATATTGACCGCATGAGGTTGTAAGAGTGCTTTTTGCGTTAAGCCTGAAGCCAGACGTAAAGAAGGCGGCTCGCTCCGTCGCTGAAGGTCACACGCACGTCGCCCGTCAAGTAAACGAGGCGCGATGAAATATGTTCAGCCCAAAGACCGGTAGCCCAAATGGCTGTTCGTCGTCGGAAACCTGAAGCAAAACATAGAAGAAGCGGCTTCCCCTTGCTAACAGTCCAGCGCGTTTTGTCCACAACTGACAGAGAGCGGATGAAGAAAACAAGCGTTGCACAAGTGATGGGGCTTCGTTACCTCTGTCACGACGGGTCTAAGCGTCTTTATTGGCTCTTTTCATGATGAGAGTTGCTGCAAACAAAACACACTCGCGTGTGTAATGGCAGGAGGAAGCGTGTCTGATCGATGTTTCTGAGCGTCGGTTCCAGCTTGAGAGATCCCATCCCGCTGCATTTGCAATCGGAAAGTAACCCAATGAATGGGACCCACCAAGACGGGCGCGTCGCAGTAGTGATCGAGCGGTGGCCGCTTGTACACCGCGTGATCCCGTTCCGTCTCCATCTGAAAGTAGTGCTCCTTCATGCGCGCCTCCTCCGCTGTAAGATGAATTTGGATTACGATGTTCAATTTCCGCCATTACGCGATTTCAGGGAGTCCCGATCTGACAATTACTGGGAAGCGTGCGTGATTCCGCTCCGTTTCCATCTGAAACTGGTGCTCCTTCACCCGCGGCTCCTCCTCTACAATGAAAAGTCAAATCACGTTGTCCCACTTTGATAGGAAGGGTCTTAGGCCGTCAAAAGTCTGATGAAAATTTCGACAGATCCTGCTACATTTTTGACAGACTCTGGCAAACTGCATGATTCCGCTCTATTTCTAATCGAAAGTACTGCGCACCTCCTCCGATGTGGAACAAAGTCGGAGTGAATTATCCAGTTTCAGCTTTCAGTTCATTTTAGAGATGCAAAGCTGACATCTACTAAGAAATCGCTTGATTCCGCTCCGTATCCATGAGACAGAAGTGCTCCTCTGAGAGTATCTCTTCGTTTATCTCTCATCTGGGCAAGTCGGATTGCACGTCTCAAATTTCTGTCACTTGGAATCTTAGGGCGTCATAACTGCTGTTCAAAAAGGACAGACGAAGGAAGAAGCGTACAGACTGAACTCGCTTGCGTACTGCAATTCGGTTCTCAGGTCCTCTAACGCCTTATCGCAAATGTAAGCAACAAATTCAGGGCCTACTTCGAGGGGGGAGGCGTAGCAAGACTGAATTCGTTCGAATCGAACGGGTGCACCAAAGATATGTCTGCCTAAAAAGGCCGTCGTTCGAGAGCTGAGAGAGAAGAAGCGTACCAAGACTGAACTCGTTCGAGCTGAACGGGTGCTGCGACCCCGCCTTGGCCACGACGCACACGCCCCTGTGCTTCTGAACCGGCGGCCAGTACTCCTCCGTGCTCGTCTGCAAGATGACGTCAGCACGTTCATTCACCACTGACGTCAGCAAAGACGTTCCGAAGAGGGCTCCAGAGACGTGTTCTTGAAATGAAGTCGCATGGCGCAAAGCAGTCCAACGCCATGCCGTTGAATGGCATAACCGATGAATTTTTCGCCCGCCTTTTCAGCAACTCTTAAGAGTCCGCCCAGAAACGCCAATGACCGTAGCCTTCAACTTTCAGAGTGCTCTCGAAATGCAGAGAAGAACCTCTGAACCTTAAGTAGGCCCTTCGGAATCATCCACGACTAAGCCCGCATTATCAGCAACTCCTTGAGGCTGCCCAAAACCGCACAGAGGTTTTTTCTCTCACTTTATAGAACTCCCAGAAGCGCCTGAAATGCAGAGAAACAGAAACCCGGAAGCCAGGCTTACCCCCTCGAGTTGGTCGATAACAACGTCCACTTTGTCGGCTCCCGACTTGTCATACAGGCGCACCCGTCGCAGGGACCGCGTCACGTGGGGGGGGGTCTTGATCACCGGCGGAATGCCTGCGGGGAACAAAGTTGCTCATCCCAACCTTTCTAGCCGCAAGAACAATCTGGGTTTGGGAGGGGATGGTAAGTGAAAAGAAGGAAGGCCAAGAGCAGGAAACTGAGAGCAGCAACAAGACGAAAGAAAGCAGAAAGGGAGGAGCAAACAAGAAGAGCGAAGGGGATGAACAGAGACTCGAGAGGTTGGAGGGAGGGAGATTGCGGCTAATCTTCAACATGGTCAGACAAAAGCTATGAGGGTTTGTATTGCCTTTGCCAGGGTGAAGGCCCGCATCCAGCCGACCAGTGCGATGAATAACCTCGCCCTCCCAGATTAACATCGGTGCTGCTATACATGGTATCTTGATTTCAAGTGAAAGTCCATCGAAATGGGAATCGGCTCTCGACATAACAGGAACGGCCGAAGCTGACAGGAATTTTCAGCCAGCCCCCAACCTCCTCCCACAATCAAGCTCCGAGAAAGATCCATTTCATCGCCGCTGCTGGGCCAACAACTGACGTCAGCAAGCGTTGAGGTCGGCAGGAGTGACGTCAGCGGCCGCACCTTGGCCCAGCAGGTGCTGGAAGTAGAAGACGTAGCGCCGCTGGCTGGAGATCGTGACGCCCTTCCCGTTGACGGTGCGGCGCTCCCCATAGAACGCGAGCGCTTCCTCCGCAGACCTGGACAGGAGATCGAACCTGTTGAAGCTTTGGGAAATGGAAAGTTTTCGATCTGGAGTGTCTGGGTCAACTCTTCCGCTTCTGCCGTAAACAGCTGCCCGAACATGTCGGTGCTCGCAAATCATCGTGCGGCGATCCGCCTGTAAGCTGAGGCCCTCCTCCGTAGATTTCTGCGAGACATGAAGGTCGGACAACTTCTGAGGTAACTTTTTGACCTCAAGCATCTGTGCAAGCTGAGAATAACGGATCGCAGTAAAACCTGAGCAGTTGTTTCTAGACTTGATTCTCTTCAAATCAGCGAAGAAAAAGGCAAAACCAACTCAGAGGCCAGTGAAGACTGGGTAAGCAGAGACATAAGCCCAGTGCGGCCCTTCCCCACCTCACTGGACGCCTGCAAATCTGCGGAGCCCCCAAGCCTTCGAGCTTGACAATGCTTGGATTACGGGGCACCCCTAGGAACCAAGCCTGCCTATGAAGAAGAACCCCTCCAAGAACGGGTAAAGAACAAGGGGAGACTGACTCACAGGCCAGTGTAAACTAGGTAAGCAGACATCATGAGCCCAGTCCGCCCCCTCCCCGTTTTGCGGTGCACGACCGCAATTCTGCGAACGGAAGCTCTTTGTTAAATTTTTGGATCACGAGGCACCCCCTCAAGTCTAAGTGTTGATTAAGGAGGACCCCTTTCAGAAAAGGGTAAGAAGCAAGGGGAGACTAACTCACAGGCCAGTGTAGACGAGGTAAGCAGACACCATGAGCCCGGTGCGCCCCTTGCCCGCCTTGCAGTGCACGACAGCGATGTTCCGGGGATCCCCCGATAGCCACGTGTGCACGTCCTCGCAGAAGCGCTTCATGAGCGTCAGGGGGGGGACCTGGTGGTCGTCGAAGGCGCAGATCTCGACGCGGTTGTCGAACTTTTCGGGGGGGTACATGCGCTCTGAGCACAGGTTATACACCTGGGGGGGAAAAGGGAGCTAAGTCGCTTCGCTTCTCTTTTCGAGTTAATTTTGGAAGTCTCAGAAGGTTTTACAATTCATTGAGAAGTGGAGCATGCCAAGCCTGTTCGAAAGTCGGAGGGACTAATCAACAGCGAATAGGGTGGATTGGTCGTATTATTGGATGGCGTGTTGCTGAGTCAGCGTCATAGGATGCAAAGAGTCTTCCGCTTAAGTTTAGTCTTAGCACTTTCGCTGTACCACTGCAGAAGGCTTACTGTCCACCGGCCTCAAAGAAAGTCAGTATGTCGACAAACCAGGAAAGGAGGTTTTGATCAGTACAGCTTGAAGATCCTTCTTTAAATACATGCCAAACGACAAACACCATTGCCTGCTTTTCCCAAAGCGGCATTGGATGAAAGAAACGGTCAGCTGAAGCACAACAAAAGGCTCGCGCATTTGGAATGGTAGATGATGACTAACCACATCTACCTTGCTCTTGCCCAGGTCTTGTGCTCGATGCAGCTTTTAAGGAGGGTGGTTTCGGTTGGTGATAGAAAGGAGAAACAAGAAGAAGGACTACAGTAGTTAGCGCTTAACCCATTTTTACCTACCTTGTAGTGCCCCGCGTGCTTGCTCTCCAGCAATCGCTGCACCTGCTTCATCGGGTTCCGAATGTACGAGTCCGCGCCCTCCGCTGGGAACCCCATCGCAATAACCCGCTCGGTTATGTACGTCAGGTCAAGGTCAAACCCGTTTTGCGTGTACCGCCTCCGTTTCTGGCTAACCAGGGACCTAACCCACCGCACCGCGCTGAAACCGCGCCAGCCTGAGCCAATCGAGTCGAGGAAGCTCTCGGGGCTCTCTGGTTTCCGGAAAGGGACGACGGAGAGGGGGTCCGGGGGCGACTTTGCGGAGGCCCCCCGTTTGAGATTTGTGGGCGAAGATGCCCGGGACGACTGCTGCAGGGGTTTGAGAAGCGACGGGTGTATCAGCAGGCGTTTTCTGCGGTGTTGCCCAGGTCCGAAGCAAAAATACGAACGTCAATTTGATTCGAGCATTAGGTTGGAGTCGATGCATAGGACATCAGCCGAGTCTTGGTACGAATGAGGTAGTAGAAAGTCCCTGGATGAAATTCCTGTCAGGAGATTGTAAAAGGGCGTGCCGACAGAAAAATAGACTTGCATCGCTCAATGGTGAGCTCGCAGGAAGAGCAGAGGGGATGACAAATCAACACCCTAAGGTAAAGAAACGGGCTTAGCCTGCCTGCTCTGTGTATCAACCTCGCCATGGGTTTCTAGGTGCTTTGAAGCCTCGTTCCCATTCTTTGACCGACAGATCGACGGCTGAAAGGCCTCCACCGGCTCAAGATCGTGAAGCACAAGTCAACACTTGGAATTAAAGTGGCAAGTTTGACGTATAGGGCTACAAGGAAATGCGCAAGCCTAAAAATGCTCACCCGCGATTGTGCCGGGGAAGCCGTCACGCGCGATCCGAAGGACTTCGTACCGGGCAGCCGCCCGATCTTCTTTGCCGACCGGCTCCGTCTCAGACTGAACCTCCCAAACCCCGACGAGTCCGTCGCAAAGTCTTGCGAGCTAGCCCGGGAGTGCCCGTCCTCCGGAATTGCCCCCCGGGGAAACTCCTCGCTTGCGTCGCGGGAAAGCGTAGGCCCCGCTTTGCGGGGGTAGTCTTCGCTGTACTGGGGACCCACAGGCCGGCCGCCCCGAGGAAACTCCTCCCCCGTAAACTTTTGCGATCTTCCCCGGGGGAACTCATCGCTGGTGTCTGGGTGCGGAGGCGGCCGCCGGCCGTCCTCGAAATACGAAATGTAACCTTGGTGGGGGGTGGCGTTCGGGGTTGCATTCGAGAGGTCAAAGTGGTCTGACGTGGATCGGATGTAGTCGTTTCTACGGGGAGTGGCCGCGGGCGAGGGGGACAGCGAGTACGGGTACACTCCGGGGGGGTAACTCGTCTGCCTCTGGATCACCCCCCCTTCTCGGGATGCTTCCTTGGCCCGCGGCGCAACGGGGGGAAAGGATTCCAGCAACTCGTACTTCGGGGGGGGCGGCACTGCCCCCTCGCTAAACCTATTTGTGCCCCCCCCGAGCAGGCGGGACCGCTCCGCACCCCCGTCTGACTGGTCCTGCCAATCCGACCGGTATGAAGGATCGGTCCGGTAGGAAGCGCGGCTCGCTCGTTTTCCCGGCTTTTTGTTTTGGGGGGGTACCTCCTGGCTCCGGCTTGGTGATGTGAAATGCCTCGCCACGTGGGCAGACAACTCTTCCTCAGACCTGGGCTGCGTTTGGAACTCTGCTGAGTTGGGATTATTCAAACTGGCACCGTCCAGGCTGGCCCGTAAGCCTGACCCCGAGGGGCGCCGCCGGTGCGACTTGGCTCCCCCCTTCTCCCCTCGGGGGGATCGTTTTGCCTTGCGTGGAGAGCCCCCCCCAGAACTGAGCGACGCCTGGCGAACCAGCCCCGAGGGCTCGAGGGCCGGGTTAGGGTTCGGGTTTGGCTGACCAGCAAGGTTATCTCCAGAACCCCGCCGCGACAGACTCGGCGACTGCGAAGCACGCCGGCCGAGTCTCCGCTCCCGCCACTTACTGCGCCGGTCTTCCTCCCACTGCCCATCGCTCGAATCATTGTCCAGAGCCGACCCTGAAGTGCTTTTTCTAATCGGGGGGATGACTCGAGGGGGCGGCTCTTCCGAGGGGGTGCTCTGCTTAGGCTTTCCCAGCCCCCCAGATGGCAGTGGCCGCCAGCTCCCAAATCCCTTTCCCAGGGGGGGCGGCGGCGGGGGCGGCGGGGAGGGGGGTTTTCTGCGGGGGTTTTGGCGTGGGTTCCGGGGCTCGCCGAAGAAGAAGCCGGAGAAAGTAAACGGGACTTCCTCGTCGTCTTCGTCGTCGTCCTCTCCGAACAGGCTGGCGATCGATCCCGCTTTGGGGAGCGGGCCGGATTTGGTGTTGCGGGCTGGGGGCCCAGTGTTGGCGTCGAGGGAGTGCCTGAGAATGCAGGGAACTTCATTTGGTCAGGTTGTTTGAGTGTCACTTGTTGGTGTTAGGAGGGTGAGGTGTGACTGCCACCGTCAGCGGTCTCCTCAGGGGCGCTTGGCCTGCACTCATGCTAGCAGAGGACTACTCTATTTGCAACAGATTTCACAACTGGATCTGGTAAGTAGCATGAGTACGTTAGGGGCAGACAGCTGCAATTTGTGCCAGCTGGAGTGCCTGTCAGAGTCAGGACGCTAAAAGCGCTTCTGAAAGGTCGGAATCAACAAACAGGACTCAATCGATCGTAACGAAACAAGATGAGCAAGTTGCTTCAAAGTGAACACGCCATCACAGTCGTGGACTTGCAGAAGACCGGATCCGAATCCACCTACTGCACCCCTCAAAGTTGTCACTTTCACTATGATCTGGTAGTATGGAACCAGCCCCGGTTTCTCCTTCTGGCCCGCTCGAATTAGGCCTGGGCGGATGCATTAGCGCAGTGACGTCAGCGCGACACAGAACCCTTACAGCAGTTTCCTGCTGTCCAGACAACGACATTGGCGGATGACAACGCGGTATCGTCTCAGCGACCAGATTCCAGCCTCCAGATCATTGTGCTGCATTTTGTCATACTGCCACACCCTGTTTGAGCCATGGACCACCGGACCTGACGAACTCACCTTCTGGAGATGGAGCTTAGATTGGCAGACTCCGACTTCCTTCGCTCACGCCCGTCGGCTCCAGCCCAGCCCTGCCGCCCTTCACTTCGCTCCTTCGCCCCCAGGAGGCTCTCATCCCCCGGCGCTGATGACCCGGGTTGCTCTGCTCTCTGTTTCTGCCTCCTTCCTTCCTCCGACTTTCCAGGCGAGTAGCCTTTCCTGGCCTGCCACCTGTCACCTTGCTCAACCTGCCACTTGTCAAGCGACAACTCGTTCTGCAGGCGGTTTGCAACTTCGTTTGGTGGCTCCCCCCCTGGAACTCGCAGTGCCCCACTCGCTTTTCCAGTCGTCCGAAGTGTGTCGGCGGGGGGTGCTTCCTTTGACTGCGGGGAAGCCTTCCCGGCGCCGCCGGGAGACTTGCCCTGCCCAAGCCACCCCCCCGAAGTAGGATAATACCATGCAAAGGCGCCGTCTGACTCCTCCGAAGCGTCCCGAGTCTCTGTGAGAGTATCTGAGGATACAGGCCGCTCCGCTTGAGGGCTTTGCGTGTACTCCGACTCGGACCCTGGGGACCATCCTTTTGCAGGGGGGTAGTTGCCTGGTCTGGGGGTAGCCTGCTGGCTGCCCCCTGGAATAACCAAGTTCCTTGCCTGTTTCTGGCCGTCCCCTGCTTGGGGGGGTGCAGCGCTTTTGGGGGTTGTAGATTGTGAGAAGAATGAGAAGGGATTGGGGTGGTGGGCCCAGAGTGCAAACAGGCTGTTTTCCAGATCCAGGGGGTTCGCTACCCCGCGGCTCTGCGACTGCGGTTTGCTAGCGGCGGTCTTTACAGGCGCAGCGACGTGGCTATTTACACTGATGCGTGCGGGGCTTCGGCGTGAGGGGGACAGCGTATAGGGGTGCGCGCGGTTATTATAAGACCTTGGTTCCGCGGCCGCCCGGTGCACGGGGGACCGCCGGCTGATGTCAGCAGCCTGTTTCTTCACTCCTTTGAAGCTGGCGCTGAGGTTCGCATTCTGCCACGGAAAAGTTGTGTCTTTCAGTTCGTCGATGCTGGGTGAGGGCTGAAACCGTGGCCGGCAGTCAGGGCTCCCGACATAGCGGTTAGGGCTCCTGACAAATTGGTTAGGGCCCTGGTTATGCAGCAGCGCGCGGAGGGGGTCTTCCTCCGAGTCTCTGAGGGGGCGCCGGATCGGGCTTCCCCGTTCAAAAGCCTGGCCCTTGCTGGTGGAAAAGAAGCTCAAAGTCTCTGCAGAGGGGGGCCTGCTAGACTCTGAGGCCCTGTAGCTAGCCATCTGGCCACCAGCTGTTGAGGAACTTCCCTGCAACCCGTGCGAGCCCCCTGCGAGCGGGGCCTTCTCCGCCTGATATGGAGCCAGGACTTCAGTTGCCATTGGGGGGGGGATATGGGGACCAGGTTTGGACCGGGAGTATCAATCTGAGGGGCCCTCTTCTGTTGCTTGGCGGGGGGGCGTGCGCAACCCATTGGAACGGGCCAGAATTGATCACACTGCCAAACCCCGGGCGTCCGCTAGAGGGCGCCAGATTTGCAGGCCGAAGGCGGAAGTCGAGCTTTGCTCCTGCAGGAAGAGGAAGTATGCTTTGCCAACAAAATAGGACCAGTTCTTGGCTGCGGCCAAAGAAAGACGAAGAAGACAGAGAGGGAGACGAAATTAGACAGTCCTGATGCAGTCTGGACCCTGAACACAAAGCGTTGCTCCAATTTGTACACTGGTTTTGAGAGCTCCCCTGCATAAAGAAATGACAGCGCAGCTGGCTTGCAGTATGCGGGTAGGCCGACTTTGACCAGTGTTCAACTCGCGGTTGGCAAAGAAAGTGTGCCGCTCCTCTCATTACCGATGCAACAAGATCTCCAAGGTTGCAACAAGGCCAGGCACCAACAATGCCACGCGCAGGCATGCGTGGTGTAGTGGGAGCCCTTGTAAGAATGCTTGATCAGCTGCTCAACTTATCATGTTGAACCACAGCAGAAATACCACTACCAAGTATGCAATGCCGCATACAATGCTGGAGCATTGTGCAGGTACATGAGGCATACATCACCAGGGCTAGAATAAGAACCAGGAAGGTGGGAATCGACTGCTGAATCAGAATTTCCAAAAGCAGACCTTGGCAAGAGCTAGGCAAGAGGAAGCACGTTTTTCTGCAAGCCAAGTATCTGCAGCCAGAGTAGGACTGCAGGCAACGAAAGCAACCGCTCCTGAGAAAACTTTCATAAACTTCTCTCATGGGAAGGACTTTCACCACTGGAGACTGTGCAGCAAAGTTTCAGTGCCAAGACTGCTGGAGCTTGTAGGTGGATTGTACATGGCCGTCTCTCTTTCGCTCCAGACCAACTTGGGTTTCTCTTTAGTAAGGACTTCCATACTCGCATTGCATTTTTGCGTGAGATCAGAAGTCCGCTTAGCAACATTGCTTGCTTGACCAACTGATAATCTGCAATGCAGACTAACGGGCATCCGATTCCTGGAGCATTTTTCTTGACATTCTGAAACTTCAATGCAACTGATATCAAACATCATGGTGTCAAATGGGGCAATAAGTGAAAAGCAGAGCAGGATTACACAGAGAACATGCTCTGTATTTGAAGTGGTGATAGAGTCCACAACCAACCTTCTTTGTTATAGCACACATTGGTCTTCAAGGTAATGTCATCTGCTGCTATCTGTTGTGACTTTGCCCTCATCATGGATTGAATGTTGGCTGACTGAGGTGTGCCACAAAGGAAGATTCGAGGTACTGTCCTTACGAGACGCTTGAGGTCGGCAATCTGCCACCAAAGCATCAACACAAGTGAAGTGCAAACCCGGTAAATTTCTGATGCAAAGGCAGAGATACTCACCAACAGCGGAAGATCACGCTCTTACACTTTTGCAAGAATCCGCTACTGGTTGGCTGCCCTTAGGTAAGTGGCAGCTATCCACACAAGCTCTTGATACACTTTGCCCGTCCTTCCAAATTGCATAGATGGAAAAACGAACGCCCCAGCTCTGAGAAGATCGACGGCTGCGGCAGACCTTCAAAAGTCGGAGCTCCAAATGCTCAACCCGAGCTCAAAAAGCTGTTCAGTCATCTGTTGAATATCGGAAGACCTCGCAGATAACTCTATCTAGAGATCCTTACAGCCCTCCGATGCCAAGCAAAGCTTGTTCATGTGATCTTCTCCCAGAAGGCTTCGTGTCCGATCCTCGTGCAGTGCACCAGCCCGTTCTGTCCCTTCCAAGGGTCGTCACGTAACGAACAAGAGGCTGAGCGACCTTGTCAAGATTCAGGAGCTTTTCTGCGTTCTCCCAGCGTTCTGGCAGGCGCCACGGACCAAATCTCTCTTGCGAGTTCTCATTGCTCCGAGGCACGATTGTGCGAGCTTGAAAGCGCTTGAAAGTGGGAATGAACTCCACGAATCCCTGGCACGAGGCAAGCCTCTGCTGAAGACTGTGAAGTGATTCCCCTCGCAGAATCCAGATGCGCTGTCAGAGGGATGCCGGCCTACATCCTTTTTGGCGACTTGCCTCGTCTGATTCTAAAACCTGATGGTCGCTCTTCAACTGCTCTGACATGTCCGGTGATCCCCTTCGCACGAGCCGGCACCGAAACCGGGCAGGGTTCCGACAGGTTACAGCATGTTTGCCAAGCTGGTTAGCCCTATTAAACGAGATTCGAATCCAAGCGGATTTGCCGGAATCATTACCTGACACAACCGGGAGCTTGTTGCTGTTTGTAAATCGGCAGAAGAGCCTTGGCAAAATAAGCCCGGGGCTTTGCCCCAACCCAAACAGTGATGGATTCTGTCAGACTTACCAGTCACAATCAAATTCAAGTTAGGAACAATGTAGAGTCTGACCACCCGGTCCGTCGTCAGACCCTGATTGCCATTCCGGTCTGTCATCGCTTTCCGCTGCGACGTCCACCATTCAGGGACCGGAAGCGCTGCTTGTTGCTTTCAATGTCAAAACAACCACGTGGTGGTGCAGGAGAGAGCTCGCACGATGGCGTCCGCGAATGCAACTTGAACGCCCTTGGAAACTCTGGCAGAGGCCCCTTGAAGAAGAAGAAAGAGGGGGTGTTTTGAAGGACACTTCTCTAGAAAGGGTTTCTTTTCTGCCGGATTGCGGGCACGTTAGCGGCATGCGCTCACTTTTGTCCTTGCGCGTACAGTTGCTCCAGAGGAGTGGTTGGCAGCCACAAATAGTGTAGGTTGAGGTAAGTGCAGATTGTGCTTATGAAAGTCTGTCAACCTGACGTGGTCAGCCAATAAATGTCCTGCTTCCAAAGCCACAGTTCTGTACGGAAGGAACGGATGCTTGGAGATCATTCAGCGACGAAAAGCTGTTCAAGGAAAACCAGTGCGCACGCGCGGGTGCTAGCTGAAAAGTGAAGGCCATATGAATGCTGGGGTCATAAAATAATTGAAGAGAAGAATGGGGAGGCAATGAGAGCTTTTGAAAATCTACCACTCGGTCAGGTGCCATCTGTGTGTCGGCCTGGTCCTGGCTTTCTGCGTCAACGTCTCATTCATAGACGCAGGAACTCTTGCTCCTAACCACGATTAGTTGAAGCGCATTGAACCAGACATGAGCCAGGTTGCTCGGTAGAAAGGCACTTAACTGGTCAAAAACCAAGCTAGATCCATCTTTTTGTGATGTTTGGCTGCCATAATGACTCAAGGTGGTATGGTCTGGTGCCACCTCGTTAGTCAAGAACATACTGGTTGCTCCTGTCAGGACTCTCGGTTATCGCATTCTTTCTATTCATTTCTCTCCTTGGTGAGAATATCATTCATTTATTCTGGTTATTTTTAATTGTCATCAGATTGTCCGATTGGCGATCCACTTAGACAATCAAATACCAAGTACAGTAGGGAAGCATGATCGAGAATATACAGCCCCTCACTCCAATTGGTGCTTATTATGCTGGTACGTGGTGTACATACCTCGTCTGCCGCGGGTCAGGAGGTATAAGATGCTCGTTGGCGTCCATTTGTGGCGACAAACTGGCACTAGTAATTCAATCCTCTATGCCATGGCAAGTGGTATACCAGGATTGACTTACAGCTAACCAGCTAACCAAGTTGATAACCAAATCAAAACACTGAAAATCTCTTCTACGTCCATACAGAGCGTCTGCTGCTGAGGGACGGTTTACGCGCACTCAGCTGCGACCTGCAGGCCTGGCGATGGCTGCACCTGCGCTGACGTCATGCCGACCTCAGCACGTTACGCAGCCTGCACGCCATGGCACAGGGCCCCTTGCAGAGGCAGCTGTTTGGAAGGCGTGCTATCTGAATGCTCGGTCGTCGAACCACTGGGGAACCAGACTAGGAGTGACGGGGTTGTCAGAATTGACTGAATCTAGTAAAGTGCACAACCGGGGGGTTTGTACGTTAACTGGGACCCACTCCAAGCACAAGCAGTCGGCAGCGTGTTGCTCTGACTGGCCAGCTTTCAAGGCCAGCGGGGTTTCCTATCCAGGGGTCCATGGTCCCCCCTGGAGCGCACTGCGCGGCGCATCGACTTTCAGCACCGCTGGAGTCAATAAAGGCAGAAGGCGGGAGGGGGGGTTTGCAAAAGTGGGCCGCTCTGTCGTAGCGAGTGAGGTGGAAACCCGCAGTCCCTCACGTGCGGCTAGGGTGCCCCGAGCGAAATTGAAACGGGACTTGACGAACCCCACCAGCGAGGACCCTGCCTCTAAAGGAAACGGTCTTCCGCAGGCGTCAAGTTTGAGGGGTGAGCGTGTGGGGCAGTCTCCATTGGAACAACGGCGGAGAGTTGATAGGAAAGAGGAGGCGGGGGCTCCAGTAGGTGAACCGAAAGCTCAACGAGTGCGGAGCACGGCAGGGCAAGGGGTGTCCGGAGCAGGCGGTGGGCGTGAGGGGGGGTCGGGGTTGCCTGGGAATCATCGGCGGGGGAACTCGACTGCAAACAGCCCCCACGAGTCTCGGCAAAATGGTGTCGACGAGAGGTTTAAGAGCGACGGGGCTGCTGAAGGAAGTGACGGGAAAATTGGGTCAGCCGAGTATGGAGTACGTCGGTCGGATGCTGAGGCGGGGGAGGACGGTTCAGAAATCGGGTTAGCCAAATCGCGTGGGGTTGTGGAGCGGAACCCAGAGGTTAGGGAGCGGCTGCAGATGCTGCGGAGTAAGTATTTGAAGTCTGCGCCGGCTGGTAGGGGTGACGATCTGAGTGGGGTTAGAGACCAGAACGGGGTTAGTGGTCAACCTGGGGTCAGCGGCCAGAACGGAGTCAGCATTCAGAGCGGGGTTACCGGCCAAAACAGGGTTAGCGGCGGGGTTGCGAAAGGTCGAGGGGCTGTGCTGCTGGAGGTATTGAGGCGAAACAGGGAGGAAGCTGCACGGCGAGACGCAGTCGGGGGGCCGGGAGATGGGGTGCCCGAGGGGGAGATGGGTGAGAATACAGCGATAGTTCAAGCACGGCGAGAGCAGAATAGGGGAAACGATTGGCAGGATTCAATAAGGAGGGGCGCAGACCTAGGGAAAGCTAGAACGGATGCAACGAACGGGAGAGGCGATACCGCTGGTGAGTCAGCCGAAAGGGGCGCAAGGAGCGAGGGTCTCGCACGGAAGAATGTCAGAACAGCGACACCAGAACTCGGGAGCCTAGGGGGCACTGAGACTAGAGTCAAAGCGCGCACGTCGAATCAGGGGGCGCCAAATTTGTCAAGGTGGACGCAAGAGAATGGGAAAGCACACGTCGGTTTTGCGGGACCCGATCGGGAATGGGGGGCTTCCGAGAGCAGGCAGAGTACCCCCCGGAAAAAGGAGCAGGGGCCCCGTTTGGGGCCTATGGAAAGGGGCTGGGAGGTTTCGAGGCCGAAGTCTCGGGGGAGCGCTGACGTCAGACTCACCGGTGCAAGCTCTGCGAGGGTGAAAGAAGAGGGCGATCAGGAAAGAAGGGCACGAAGCAGGTTAGCTAAACGAGCCCGTTTGTCCCTTTCTTCTTCTTTGCTTTCCGTTTCCTGGTTCCTTCCGTAGAGACACAGGCCGACAAAAACGTCTTAGCAGGTGGGAGTACACAATGACGGTACAAAAGCGATGAAGAATATGCAATCACGGGGAACCATTTGTGAGAGACGACCTTCTCAAATCGGCACTGCAAGTCCATGGGGGCTAGAGACAGGGGTGGTCAGGAGGGAAGGGCACGAAGCAGGTGCCCTTTCTTGTGTATTCTTCTCGTGCTCTTTCCTTCTTGTTCTTGCAATAAGGGAAGCTCTGAAGGTGAATGCCTTGCTGGATGGACTGAAATCAGCCCTTTCAAATGCCGAGAAAACCATATAAAGATTTCCTCGTCCGCAGAATTCCATTTCCAGGCTAACCGTAAATGTGTGGACTAGCATGCAAATGCGCCAATGCAAGAGTGAATAGTCAAGTAGGGTAGGGCCTTGAGAAAGAACGGCCGGAAACCTCCGGTTGATTCTCAGCTCTCATCAAGGCAGAATCTCAGTAGAGTTTGTTAAAGAGTTGCTCGTTGTGACGCGAGCACACTCGTTTGCAGATTGCAACTGCAATTGGGGGCTTCACTCATAGAGCAACAATCGTAATTCCGCACATATTCTGAGAAGTCGAGGGTCGCTTCGAGTGTCAGTCGTTTGTGAGCAGTCTGTGCACAGCGTTAAAATACCATACCTGTATCTAAGAGAAACTCCTGTGGTAAATTCAAGCGCCTCTTAGGTCGGGCTTCGCTTTTCTCACGCCGATCGAATCGCTCCTCGGGCAGAGTCGAAAGCTCAGCCCCGAAACGCTTTCGTTTCTAGATTGTAGGCACAATCAGATTGAGCTGTCTTCCTGAGCAATTTGATCGGCCTTTGGCGCTGGCAGGAGTTACGACCTACGGTGGCAGTTTGTTACCTAGAATGCCTTAGGCAGGTTGACATGAAAGTTGTTTCTGAATTGGATACTACTCAATTGTGCAATCGGAGAATGTATGCCACTTCTCACACTAACTTTTGTCTTCGTTTCTGGTGTTCAGGGAAGAAGGGAGGCCGGTCGCCGTGACGCAACCGCCTTCCAGCGTGAGGGACTCGAGAGCAGTACCTGGGGCAAAGCGTGCTGACGTCACCGTAACGTCAGCATCCGTAACTGCCTCTCCGAGGGACAAAGTTGGCTCGGACGTCAGCACGACGTCAGCATCCGGAGCAGCCCCCCGAAGCAGAAGCATCGGTGGCCCGGGGGTAACGACCGGACGAGCAGTTGGAGGGGGAAGGGGCGGGGGATCCCTGGCGAAATCAGTCAGGGCCAGTAGGGGGGAAGGTGATGTCAGCATGACGTCATCTGCCGCTGGAAAGAGCGGAGATCCCGTGGATGACGCCTTGGAAATGGCGCGTCGTATGTTTGGCCGAGTGAAGGGGAGCGAGGTTGGGAGAGGGTTAGGCCAACCAGGGACTGGGTTAACGAAGAAGAGCGAGGGCAAGACCACAACTGTCGATGTTGATCGGAGATCTGTAAGAGGTGGGAAGGAGGGAAGCGTGTTGCGGGGGCGTAGTGTTGCAGCGGAGGAAGGTGCGAACCAGGTGAAGCAGGGGTCAGAGGGTCAGGATGGGAAGTCCGGGGATTGGCAGAGGACCGAATGGCGCGCAGGGCCTCGGAAAGGTGGTGTGAATGCGGCCGCGGAAGAGGGGAGGAACTACGAAGACGACTCTGACGAGGGCCTATTCGCACCGGAGGAGGAAGACGAGGAGTTGGACGTTGACGATGGTGGAGAAGAAAGAGAACTGTCCGCTGAGGAGTTGGCGGAAGAGAACGCGGAGCGGGCGCAGTTCACTGCAGAGGAACTAGAGTCGGGGAGAGAGTTGGAATATTCGGGGCTGCCGATAAGCCTGGGAGCGGAGGCGGAAGAAGCGCTGGCGGCGCAGTTTGGGGTGGAGGGTTTAAGCGGGTCAGAAGCCGGGTTAGGAGAGGGTTTGGACGGGGTAGAGGAGGGTTTGAACGGGCCAGGGGAGAGTTCCGAAGGTTTCGCAGAGGATTTTCGAGAAAGAGATACGGAGGAGGGGGCTGAGGAGTGGGAAACAGATGAAGAAAGTGCAGGGGGAGCGGACACGGAGTCTGGCACGAACGAAGGGGACGAACAGACGGGGGCTCCGCTGGGGAAGCGCTCGAAGGTTCTGGCGATGCTAGAAGAAGTTTGGGGTGCGGATGACGAGGGAGGGGAGGAAACAGGTGACAAAGCGGTGCGTTTCGAAACCAGGGGGCCGCAAAAGCCGGCGATCAGGGTGAGGGTTTTGGCTGAGGAAGAGAACGTCTCTTTGGAGAGCTTGACGCCACTCGAGCGGGCCCGGATTCTTTTCCGGGGGGGCAAGCCCACACTGGGGGAGAGCAGGGAGAGTCCCCCCGGAGAGGAAGAGGACGGAGCAGAAAGGGCCCCGGCCCGAGTGACGTCACCAAAGTGGAGGCAGCCGTCAGCCGAGGCGGAGAGGGATCCCCCGCGGGTGTTGGAGTCGTCGAGGCGAAAGGTGACGACGTCGAGCGCGCAACGGAAGCGGCTTGGGCAGAAAGTGAAGAAGGTCGAGCCGCTCACGACGCGGGCGCAGGTTATCGAGCGGGTTAAGCAGCTGGCGCGCGACACCCTGCACGAGTTCCTGCAAATGCGGTTAGCGGACCGGTTACGGGTTGACTATATCGTTAACCACTGCCCGAAGTTCCTGGCGCGTCAGGTGCTCTTGCCGCTCGCCCAGAGCCAGAATCGGTCCACCCCGCCGGAGAAGCAGCTGCGCGCCCTGGTTTTCGGGTTAAGCGGAACCCAGTTGGTAACCGCGTATGAGGAGGCTCTCGAGATCACCGACGAGCAGAAGGGGTTAGCGAAACGGGTTTTGGCGAGCCACCTGCACGTGCACCGGTACATGGAGAAGGGGATGGCGGAGAACATCGCGGAGAATTGTCCGATCTTTCTCGTGGAGGGGGTAATCGTTCCCGCATCGACGATACCCTTCGAGGCCCTCAGTGTCGTGCAGGTATTTTCCTGGAGAAGGTCACACAAGACACCCTTGACAGACGTTGGCTGAGCATTCCAGTTCCGCTCCTCTGTTTCGCGTCGTGTTTCTCGTTTTTATGACCTGCTTACGGTTCTGAACATGTACTTTGAGAGATCCGGTATGACGTCCCGAAATTCAGGACAAATGATGAAGCATCTGCTAGCCAAGAGTTGCACATGCGTCTGCTTAAACAGTTAGTTGGAGAACGTTCCAATTCTTTCACGTCGCCGTGCGACTTCGGCCGCCTGTGCTTTCTGCTGGTGTGATTCTGTGCGCGCCTTCATACTGAGCGCTCTCTCTGCGCTAAAATGCTGATGAGAAGATTTCGCCACCTATCTGCTTCTCGCCTTCATGGCGTTCTCGTCAGAAACCACAGACTGTGCTCCGCCTGCATCATACTCAAATTGGCTTTTTCTTCATTCCTGAGCCGGGTTAAGCCAATCCGATTCTCGTTCCGTGGTTTGACAAAGTAGAGCGCCGATACCTGCCGTAATTTTTCAAACCTCTGAACAAGGACTAGCGCGAATCAGCCCTTCTCTCGTTTCCCTCACGACTCCAGTCGAACCTCTGAACGGAGACAAGGCGTATCAGCCCTTTCCTCGTTTTCTTCTCAGCCCCCATTTATATACCTCCGAACAAAGACCAGCGCGAATCAGCGTTTCTCTCATTTCCTTCTCAACCCCGAGCGGCACTAGTGGCGCAGATTGCGCCGCCTCGCCAACCATGCCAAATCACGAGACTGCTCTTTTCATTTCTCCCAGAAAGTCAGAAGCCTGGAAGTGACCGCGCGTGACACAGGACACCTGCAGAAATCACCCAACTGCAGGAATCACCCAAACTTTCTTGATACTGGCTTTTGCGAAACAGCTCAATGTTTTCCCTGGCGCAAGCATTGCCAACCGCTCAACTCGGATTCACACGTAGTCCCGTTGTTGATGTAACGCACCCCCCAACATTTGACGAAACTGACTACCTCCGTTTTCCCCTTGCCCACAGCAAACCCGCTTCAAAGAGTGCTGGCGATGAAACCACTTTCGTCGAATCATGCTCTCGTTGCAGACATAGAACATTTCGTCCTACCTCCAATGGTGGGTTTCAGTCACGTCTGTTCAAAATGGCCTTGGGTCGTCAAACCCTCACTGTCCAACGACGCTGCTTCAGGAAAATTGTAAAACCCTCTTCATTGTTCCTGCAGCGCTTCCACCTGAAGATGCGCTGGCGCCGGAAACAGCGCCGCCCCATCCCCCGCTCCAAAAATGGCGACCCGGTGCGCGACGCCGAACTCGCGATGACGTACGTCCTCTGCAACACGAAGCGCAAGAAGCTGACGTGGGCCTTCTTCGAGGCGCTGGGGATGCCCGAGGCTGACGTCATCCGTGCGCGCAACAAGATGCGGCCGGGGGTCTCGCTGACGAACCTCGCGCGCGTGGTGACGTGGCTGCGGACGGAGCTGGAGCTGACGTCAGCGGACCTGCAGGCGGTCATCCGGCAGAGCCCGCTGCTCATGGCGCACAGCGTGGAGTCGCTCGAGGCGCGGAAGGCGTTCTTCCTGCGGAAGCGGATCGGCGTCAGCGAGAAGACGCAACGGGAGTGGCTGCTGAAGTACCCGCGGATGTTTACGCGCCCGGTGGAGTCGTCGCTCATTCCGCTGGTCTACGGACTGATCGACGAGTTCGGGATCGGCGATGCTCCGGAGCTGCTGAGAAAGTACCCGCGCGTGTTCGCGAACAACACGTGGGCGCAGCTCCAGATCAAGGTCGGGGGCCTGATCGACGTCGGCTGCACGCCCGCTGACGTCAGCCGGCTGTTCGCGGCGGCCGACAACGGGGTGAGCCAGGACGTGCTGTGCAACGGGCTCGACCGGCGGATTCCGCCGCTGGCGAAGCTGCTGCGGAAGAACGGGTTAACGGAACGGGAGGTCGCTAACGTGGTGGTCAGCGAGGTGCCGCTCTTGGCCGTCGATCTGAAGGAGATCGAACGGCGGCTGCACTTTCTGCTGCGGGACATGGAGCGGAGTCCGCGAGAGATCGGGGCGTTCCCGGCGTGTCTAAAGTACCCCGTAGAAGCGAGGCTACAGCGGTTGGGTTACGTGAGCCGGTACGGGTTTGGGGAGGGGTTAGGGTTGGCGGAACTGCTGAACCCGGACGATCGGGAGTGGCAGGAGATGAAGAAAGCGTGGCGGGGGGTGGGGCAACACCCGGCGAGCGTCCCCTCGAAAAAGAACGACGCCGATCGGGCGGAGGAGCTTTTGGCGCAGTGGGAGGAGGAGAATGAGGAAGACCCGGAGGTGAAGGAGCTGGTTAAGATGGAGGAGGAAGGGTTAGTGCTGATGGACCCGATCAAGTTCAGGCCCCGGAAACGGAATCGGATTCCGATCCCGAAGGTGTATAACATCTACGAGCAGAACCGGATCCGGAAGCCGAAGGATCCGGACTATACGGTGAAAATGCTGGAAAAGAGACTGGCGTTGGCGCTTGGAGAGGAGCCGCCAACAAGGGGGGAGGAAAACGGGTCAGCAACGGAACCGGGTGTAGTTAAGAAAAAGAAGGTGGTTCGCGTGAGAGGCTTGGTGGTGAAGAAAAGGAATCAGGTTAAGGGGAAGTCGCCCAGGAAAAAGAAGGGCAAGAAGGCGCCCAAGCAGCCGAACACGCTCTTTCCGGGCGTCGAGAAGATGTTCTAACGTTGCCTCAACGTTGTAACGAGGCTCAGGGACATGTCACGAGTTGAGGTCAGTTGAAAGAGTTGTTTGTAAGAGTTGACGGTCGGAGATCGAATCGCAAGTGAACGATGTGGTCGGATGCATGCCCGCCCTACTTTGCAAGATACCGGATCCGTCGACGGCGGCCAGGGGTAATCCTTGCTTGCTAAGGATGCGTGTCGTTCCCAGAAGCCGCCACATAATCTTTTTGCATCATGCAATGGTTTTAAATTCCCCAAGTACGGCTGCCATGAATGAGGGCTTTCGGCTTTAGTAATGTGCATGTACGACTCCACGATCCTTCGTCAGCATCGCATTGTCGCATCATTGTAGACAATTCCTGCGGCTTCATTGGAGTCCCATTGGACCGACCATGTCGATTCCTTGAGGGTTATGGAGAATTAACTGATTGCACGCATTGAAGTGAAGATTCGTATCGGTTTTATGTACGTACAATGGTCTGTCATCCACGTGCCAGTTTTCGCCGTATCTAAACAGGCCATACGAAGCTTCGATCTCATGACTGAGCTATATATCAAGTTGCATATTGAAAGACATATGCGCATATACGGACGTGTGTGGTGTGTTAATGTGTCACGCCGTGCTTAATTTTGATCGTCGTACGATGGTCTCATGGCCCGTCTAATGAATCATGATGCATCGCGTGCCGCATAAGGGCGGGCCTGCCAAGTCACGTGCAGGCCGCGGCCCGCTTCCCGCCCGCGTGCGCATCATCATCGGAGTGGCGCGGCCACTCCGATGAGGTAGACCCTACGGACCCACAACCTTCAAATTTACACGGGCGCGATCGCCGCGGTCGCGCGAAAATTCACTCTATCAATTTTGCGGCTCACCGCAGACTGCCGACGCGTCGGCACTTGTCAAAATTTCAATGCCCTCCAGTCCCCCGGACTCCGTACTACTGGCTGATAGCATGTTCGCACTTGACTTGATTTTATGCCGGCGGCGCCGGCGGCGAGTTTCATCCGGCGATTTTGTAGATTTCCCGGCGCCGGAGCATCGCCGCCGGCGCCGGAGTGTTCAGTTGCTCCAAATACTCCGGCACCGGACAACTCCGGCGCCGGAGGCCAGCTTAGCTGCAACCCCTCCAAGCTGGCCTCCCAGATCTGCATCGCAGACCTCCCATCTGATCAAAGCCTTCATCTTTAATGGCGGCGGCCACCGAAGGGGATGAAGGCCTACCGCATCAGGAGCAGCCAAGCGTTCAGGACACGCAGCCCCTTGTTGAAGCGCAAGATGAGGCAGCTGGAGCTAGCACTCAGAAGACTGCCCCAGAGGCAACAACTGCAGGAAAGCGAAAGGGCGCTGCCAAGCCCTCAAAGCGGGGGTCCAAGAAGGGCAAGAAGGACGATGGTGGTAACGAAGAAGACACTTCTCTAGCAGGCCAAGCCTTCAAATGGACAGACAACGGGATTGAGGGCCTCGTAGATGTTTGGGGTGGAAAGTCCAGAAAGCTGCAAGGGGGGAACCTGACGGCGAAGCATTGGGATGAGATTGCTTTTGCAGTCAGTGCAGCAACAGATTGCCAAGTGACGGCCCAGCAATGCATGGACAAGGTAGATGGCCTGAAGAAAAAGTACAAGAGCATCAAGGAGAAGAAAGGGAAGACAGGCAGCGAAGGCAACGTTGCCAAAGGTTGGAAATGGTTCGAAGACCTGGACCGAGTCCTGGCGGCAAGACCAAAAACTGCGGGTGTTCCAGGGGCAATCGACGGGGGGTGGCAGAAAACTCGGACAGCCGGTGTACAGATCGACTCAAGCGACGAAGCAGAGGGGTCAGAGAACGAAGGAGCAGACCCTCTTACCGGTGAGCCGCTTGGTGAGGAAGAGCCGCAGAAGCAGCGGCCAAGCGAGCAAACAGCTGGGATTGAGGCAGCAAAGAAAGGTCAACCCGCACCAAGAAGCAAACCGGTCAGTACTGGGAAGAAAAGCGCAGGCTCCACGAATGTTGAAGAGGCAAAAAGTCCGCGGGCCACTGTTTCGAACATGCCTGGTGTGTCTGGCCAGCCAACTGCCGGGAAAAAGGTTGGGAAGCATCGCTTGTCGGATGAAAGTCCAATGCGGAAACTTGCCGGGAAGCTTGGAGAGTTTGTGGGTGTTATTGCGGAAGGGGAGAAGAACAGGGCAGAAGAAGCACGGGAAAGACTTCAGGCTGAGGAGCGAAGGCACGCCGAAAGCCTGGCGATGGAGCGGAGCCGTCTAGATTTTCAGCAGCAAGTGGCGCTTGAGAACATGCGGCATCAACATGCGATGCAACAGATTGCAGCAAGGCAGCTTGAAAGGTAAGCAGACTGTCCTTCGTAACATGCGTTTGTAAGAACAAGTGCGATGTGTCTTGTGCAAATCAGATTTCTTACATCGTTTGATTCTGATTGAGAGTTTAAAGCTCAGCCGCCAGCTATTTGATCCAGGAGAAAAGATATGTGACACATGTTGCAGCTGGATTGTTGTGGACGAATCAAACCACTATCAGATCAACAATGCCGTTGTGACGGTTGGACAGGGTTCACACGCTGCC